AGAACTAATACTTATATCAGAAAAAACAATTAGCCGGCGGCAGGTGGGTGCATGCCTGTAGGTCCCAGCTACTACCGGATGGCTGAGGCAGGAGGATGGCTTGGTCAGGATATTGAGGTTGTCGTGGAGCATGAAGGGGCTGGACGCCACAAGCACGTCACGGTGCAGGCCCTGTCGGCAACGCAAAGCGAGCGTGTACGTCCAAATAATAAATAAATATATAAATAATAAAGTAAAAAATAAAAAAGTGGCCAAGGTTTTTATTCCCAGTGTCTTGCAAATATTGACAACTTGAAAAGGAAAACTGTCACACTACACATTTAAATGGAATTAATGTCTTTTAACTATAACAGACCTATATTCAGTTCTTACTTTTTTTAAATTGTGGTAAAACATACATAAAATTTGCTATTTTTTTTTTTTTTAGAAATGGGATCTTGCTATGTTGCCCAGGCTGGTCTTAAACTCCTAGCTTCAAATAATCCTCCCACCTTGGTCTCCCTAAGAGCTGGGAGTACAGGCTACAGGCATGAGCCACTGTATTGGCCAGCGAGTCTGGTTTTAGCTCTTGAGTTTAGCGCATTTTAGCTCAGGTTACATTTAGGTCAATGGTGTTGAAGCAACCGCATCATCTGCAGCATCACGAGAAATGTTTAGCTCTCTCTCCGTTTCTCTCCACTAACACCTAAACAATAGAAATGTCTCCATGATATATACAGCGGCGATCTAACAATATCTTCTTCTCTGGCCACCATGCCCGGCTAATTGTTTGTATATATATTTTTAGTTGGTCAATTAGTTTTTTTCTACTTTTAGTAGAGACGGGGTCTCACTCTTGCTCAGGCTGGTTTCGAACTCCTGAATCCACCCACCTCGGCCTCCCAGAGTGCTAGGATTATAGGCGTGAGCCACCGAGCCTGGCCTGTATTTGGTTTTTTTGTGATTGGCTTATCTTATTAAGCGTAATGTCCTCAAGGGTCACCCGTGCTGTGGTGAGTGTCAGAATTCCCTTTCTTTTTAAGGCAAAATAATATTCCATTGCATGGATATGGACCACAGTCTGCTGATTTACTCATCTGTTGATGGACACTGGGTTGTGTCCACCTTTTGGCCATTGTGAATGACGCTGCTGTGAACATGGGATATGCAAATAGCTGTTTCACTTCCTGCTTTCAGTTCTTCTGGGTACATACCAATGCTTTTAAAATATATCTTGGGTCCCACTTTTAGCAACTGGGAATCTTCTCCTCTTATTTCAATCCATATTCCTCACAAAATTTTATCCTAACATGATATATCTGTGTCCTTGAAACCCTTTTTTGCCTACCCTATCGTATATTTATACGACCAAAATACATTCATGCAATGTGTTTGCAAAAGCTGGGAAACCCAGGACTTGCTGCTTTTGAAACAGTGTTAGTTATAGTTTCAAATAATATGCTCAATATGTTTTCAGGAGAAGTTTCTCTAAATTTAAAGCAATGAGTGCACTTTTTTTTTTTTTTTTTTTGAGACAGACTCTTGCTCTGTCGCCCTGGGTAGAGTGCAGTGGTGTCATCGTAGCTCACTGCAGCCTCCAATTCCTGGACCCAAGCGATCCTCCTACCTCGGCCTCCCAAAGTGCTGGGATTATAGGCATGAGCCACTGTGCCCAGCCTAAACTGGTAAATATCATGTAAAGTACCGTGACAACAAAAAAACCTCTCTGTTTGTCTGTGTTCCCCTTGGAAAGTACTCCAGGGACACGAGGACTCCCGGACAGGAAATGTTGAAAACATGTAGCAATCTGTGCAAGGCCTGCACCCTGGCCGAGTGGCCTACCCCTGAATAGCCCATCGGTACCCGCACGAGCCCGGGCCTGCCCAGCCTACCTGGGGGCAGCTGGGGCTTGGCTGAGGCTGGGGATGAAGCTTGGGCGGTGGCAAGAGGCCCCTCCAGGGTGACCCTGGGCTCTGTGGCTGGCGGCATTGAAGGGGCCGGCTGGGTGGGTGCAGGGCTGTGGCTGGGCACAGCTGCTGGGCTCTTCCCTATGGCCACGGGCGGCGGGATGTCCTCTTCGTCGATGGCGTTGCCCTTCCGGACGGAGGCCAGCAGGTTTTCCAGCGTCTGAGACAAGGCATGAGGGTGGGGCTGGGAGAAGCTGGGAGCTTGGTGTAGGGGGAGTCGGGGTGGGGGGTCCCCACACCCTGCCCTCTGCCTACTCACCTTAAGTCCCCGGTCATAGCGCCGCACCTTGGCGCCGTCTCCAGCTTGCCTGGCGCTTTCCACTGCTCTCTGGTAGAGCACCAGCCTCTCCTGCAAGGTGGCCTCCACCCCCGGGGCCGGGGCTGAGGGCTTCGGCTGCAAGAGGGGCCAGGGGCACGGTCTGGGTGGTGACCTCACTCAGGCTACTGCCACTAGCCCCTCCCCACACTAACAGTCAGCCACAGGCCACCCCTGGGCCAGGCTCTCCTGCCTCGGTGGGGCAGAAGTCCAGGTCCCTGTTTCCCAGTGGGGGAAACTGGGGTCAGAGGCATCATGTCACACAGCCGAGAGGGACAAGGTGGGCCTTGAAGACCGGGCTGTCCGGGGTGGGGAGGCTGCGGTTCAAAGGAGCAGGGTTGTCGCAGCTGTACCTGGGCCACAGGTGGCTGGGGCTCCGATGCCTTCTGCTCTTCTCCAAGGACCTCATTCAGCTCCGCCTGCAGGGGCACGTGGACGGGGCGGGATGTGAGGGCCCAGTGGAGGGGGCGATGGAGGAAGAGCACCCCCACCCGCCGTGGGTGCTTACGAGCAGGTCGTCATCCGCCTCCACGTCATCCTCATCCGTCCCCTCCTCCTCTTCCTCGTCCGGGTCTCTCATGCAGAGTCTGGCCATCTTCTCGATGGCCTCCATGGGCAGGGGGCCTGGCGGCAAAGGGAGGCCCCAGCTGGACCCAGATGCCCCAAGAGCCGCCCACCTCCCCATCCTGGACACCCTCGGGCCCTCCCTGCGCGGTGACTCCACCTCTCTTCCTCACGCAGTCCCAGTTCCAGGGCTGGGCCACCTGGGTTCGAACCTCAGCTCTGCAACTTTCTCACTGTGGGACCCTGAGCGAGTCGCCTTCCCTCTCTGGGCCTCAGTTTCCCCATCCGTTAAATGGGGGTGACAATAGTTTCTCCCTTACAGGTAGGTTGGGGGGATGGAAGGTAAATGAAGCTCTTAGAACATCATACGGTCAGCATCTTGTTACTTGTGTTAGTCTCATTATTTGCGGTACTTATGTTCTATAAAGTGGCTCTGAAGACTGAACTAGTGAATCCACGGGGCCACTGCTCCTAGGGGAAATTCAGGCTTAGGTTCCTATGAGCCCCCGGTGACAACATTTTCATCAACTGATTAATACTTCATGTGTATGTCTGCTTCAAGACACCTCGAATATATATGTAGTTAATTCATTAACTGTGAAAGCAGCACAGCCAACAGTATGGTAACTTACGCAGGAACGAAGCACCTCTAACACCCACGCTTTTGGCGTTAGGCACATCACTGCCTTCTCGCTCTTAGGCGCACTAGACAGCCCTTCTGCGTCATGCCCGGAGCCGTGATGAACAGCAAGATTACCAACAAAAAACCCCAAAATGAGAAAAATATGGCGCTGAACAGGCTCCAAAAGGGACCCTTGTTTACAGTATAAAAGCTGAAAGGAGAAGGCAGAGCGTCGTTCTACTTTATGTGTCAGGAGACTCAAACTTTTCACTGCTCTTTGTGGGTCCGTGAATGCCATAATTATTGATTTTGGGGCTTACAAACACGTTTGAGGGAGCCGTGAATTCACAAATATGAAATCCACCAACAATCAGGACTGGCTGTATTCGCTAAAATGTTTAAAGTTTCCACTTCCCCTCTGGGCTCCAGCTCCACTTGACCCCTTCAGGGTCCTGTGTCCCCTGCTATCTGCATCAGGGCCTTTGTACCTGCTGCGACCCCTCCCGGAAGTGCTCCCCACCTCTTCACCTGGCTCTCTCCATGGTGGGTACTTCTTTTAGCCCACGGCCACTCACAGGTCTCTCCCCACATCCCAGACCTGATCGTGGGACGGCGGGTTGGACTGATGAGGACCTGGTCTTATTATGTGTCAGGTGGCCCTGTGTGAACTGCTCACGGACCCTAGAAGATTAACTAACTCCTGTCATGTAACCACGGTTATTGTTCCCACTTTATAGATGGGGAAACCGAGGCCGACATGGCCAATAAGTGGCACAGCTGGGGTTCAAACCCCCATCTGGGTCCAGAGTTGATCATTACCCTCTTTCTTACCTAGTCCATGGGGTCCCAGAGGGTAGGGGTCTTATCTGTCTTCTGTCCCCCACCTGCCTAGTGCCCAGCTCTGAGTCCAGCACACAGCAGGAGATAAAACGTTCAGAGGTGCGTTAACCATCTTACCTTTGCCTTTAAGCTTCTCCAGGGCTGGGGGCTGGCCCCCCACCAAGGCCAAGAACTCAGCCTCCAGTTCCTCTTCGTTAACGCCATCCTCAGGGATCATGAGGCCGTCTGGGGAGAGGTCAACCAGCAGGCCCAGCTGGGGGAACAGCGAGGGTCAGTCAGACCTGGGGATGCACCACTGGGCCAGGGGCAGCCATGATGGACCCAGAGCCTCCTTGGGAAGAAGGAACCAAAGTGTCCTGGGGGAGCACCGGGAAGCTGGAACAGGCCCAGAACAGGTGTCCCAAGATGGGCCAGGCCTTCTGGCACAGATCAACATGGGGCAAAGGGCAGGCAGACCCAGCTCCCTGCTCTGAGTCCACACCTGTGATGTGCTGCTAGCCAAGTTCACCGGGAGAAGCAGGCCCCACACCCTGCCAAAGCAAAGCTGCTCTGCACACCTGGGCTGTGCCTTCCAGTGTCCTCATGCGGGAAGCCTGGAGCTTTAAGGACAATTAGAGGCCCCGACAACAGCGTAGAAGCTGAATTTGGGGTCTCTGCCCTGCAGACCTGTTTTTGTTTTGGTTAATGACCCAATCATGATGTGGTAATATTACGTTGAACTGTATGAAGTTGCCTGTCCTTTGATCAAAAAATGGCCAAATATTGGCAATTATGTATGATCCCACCTAACAGTAATAATGATGACATTTATGGAGTGCTATGTTCTAGCACTTTTTTTTTTTTGAGACAGAGTCTCGCTTTGTTGCCCAGGCTAGAGTGAGTGCCATGGCTTCAACCTCAAACTCCTGGGCTCAAGCGATCCTCCTGCCTCAGCCTCCCAAGTAGCTGGGACTACAGGCATGCGCCACCCATGCCCGTTATTTTTCTATATATATTAGGGGCCAATTAATTTCTTTCTATTTATAGTAGAGATGGGGTCTCGCGCTTGCTCAGGCTGGTTTTGAACCCCTGACCTCGAGCAATTCGCCCGCCTTGGCCTCCCAGAGTGGTAGGATTACAGGCATGAGCCACCTCGCCTGGCCAATAAAAAAATTATTTTACGTGTCATGGCCCCACACAGGGGCCATGCTAATCTTCTCTGTATTGTTCCAATTCTAGTATACGTGCTGCCGAAGTGAGCACTGTTCTAGCACTTTCTATAAACTATCCCAATACATCTTCACAAATTGTCCTGGGACGTGGGGGTCTCTAAGAGGTATCCATTTTACAGATGAGAAAACTGAGGCTCAGAGCTGTGAAGTCAAGTGTCCAAAGTGCAGAGGCCAGGAGGGAACTTCAAGTCATCTAGACTTGACTATCTGAACACTAAGCCATGCCCTGGGCTCCTTCCATCAAAGCTGAGAAAAGGCAAACTCCCCCCTGCCTGGGGCAGAGGAGTTGGAGAGTAAGAAAGGGCTCAGCCACGGTCCTGTGAGCTTATGGCTGTAGCTCTGGATTTGCATCTAGATCTGGGCAAGCTGTTAATCCCTATGACCTTGGACAGATGTCATCACCTCTCTGAGCCTCAGTGTCCCCGTATGTACAATGGGAATAAAAGGAGTCTGACATGGCCCGACTTGTGCAAGGGTTTGACAAGCCAGGTCCGAGGACTGACCCTCCCCTCCCCGACTGGAGCTGCTGTGGCAACAGGTGGCTTCGTGCCAAGGCAGGACGCCAAGTGCTGGGGGGGTGCCAAGGCCAGCAGGCCGCACACTGGGGGCGGAGCCTCATCTGGGGGGCGGGGGCTGTGGCTCAGGGGGGGCGGAGATCGGGCTTCCCTTTGGGGGGGGCCCTGCCCTGAGCGTGTGACGAGGGTAGGGAGGGATACCCCCGTTGGGACCGTGGAGCGCAGACTCACCTGGCGGGCGGCGGCGGCGCCTCGGCCCGGGGGTCCTGGGGGTCCCTTCCTCCTGTGCATCTTCCAGGCTTGATGCCCGGACCACCGGCCCCGGCGCCCGGCCTTGCCCTGCCTCTCCCCGGGGCCTGTCGTCGCGCACGCGCCCTTCCTAAGCCCTGCGCTCCTCTTCGGCGCCTCGCGACTGCCGACCCCGTGCCCTGGCTTCCCCGGTTGGTCGCCCCACTTCCGCCTTGGCCTTCGGTCGCCTCAGCACCTGAGCGCGGCCACTGGACTCGCCGGGGCCGCCGCACCGAAACTACAAATCCCGGCATGCCATGCGCGACGCGCATGCGCCCGGCGGGGCGGTGCAGCTGGATGCGCCGGAGAAAGGGGCGGGGCGTGCGCGGGTGTGAGCAGCGGCGCTGGTACTGCGCGTGCGCGGGGCGTGGCCTCGCGAGGCGCGGGAAAGAGGTGGAGCGCGCGCAGGTGTGAGGGGCGGTGGTCGCCGTGTTTTTAGCTGCGCCCAGTGATCTCTCACTGGCTCCGGCCTCACCGGGGCTCCCAGTGTAACGAGTCCTCACTTTTCTGAAAAGTCCTCACTTTTCTGTTTTCCTTTCTGGTGTTAGTGGGCAGCTGGTCGCCAGGAGCCGGGTCCACAGCGCCCTGGCCTCGGGCCTCCTTCGCCTCCTCACGCTCGGCCCAGGCTTCCGCGGGGACCAACTTGGCCCTTTGCTTATTCAAAAAAGCGTAACGCAAATAATTCAAGCGACTTATCCGCCAACAGGCCCAGGCAGACTTTGTTCCTGATAAGGACAGAGAGACTTCAACGACTTCTGTGGCCCAGGTCGGTTTGGGCTTGCCTGGCCCCCAAGGCTGGAAGAATCGGCCTGTGGCGACTCCTGCCCCTCCAGGGCCCTGGCTGTCCCTGGAAGGGCCCCAAGCGGCCCCTTTAAAAACCCTAGATAACCTTGGAGGGCCCCAGGTGACCGCCGGAAAGGCCTCAGGTGTCCCTGGAGGGGGCCCAGATACCCCAGCCTGGAGAGAGGGGCTTCAACCCAGGCACGAGAGCTGGGGTCCCCAGGGCTTCCCATGGAGGACTCGCCTGGGCCCATGTACCTCTCGGCCCTTGGGCAGAAGAGGGGCAGACCCCTCTGCAGCGTGGAGGAGGTTTGAATTCCTACTCGACCGTGGGGTCCCACCCTGTGTCCTGTGGGGGCTCCTCTGACCCCTCGGGGCGGCCAGATGGGCTGAGGTGGAGGTGAGGGGTAGCCTCCTCTGCCCTCAGCTAAGGCCACTGGATGGGGACAGGGACTGCTTATAATGATGGGAGGTTTTGCTTGTTTTCAGATTTCTCAAGGGACAGATAAAATGAATAAGAGGAAGAAGCTTCGGACCTCAGGTATTTTTGCTCATTCAAGTTGACACTCCATGATGGGTGCTTGTGCTTATAGGAGGCGTGTGGGTTTATTTATTGCAGAAATGGCTAATACGCCCCAAGGTTTTTAAAAGAAAACTAGGATTTAATACACATTAGAAAGAAAAATAGAAATTACAGAGAAGGGCATATACAGGAGAAAGTAAAAGTTTTCTGGAGCTCCTGCCAGTCCCTGGTGGGGTCCCACAGCTTAGGGAAGCTCCCCCCCCCCAGGCTTCAGAGCAGGGACACAGTGTGAGATGACCCCTGAATAGAGCTTGATGTGCTACAAAGCTACTGATACGTGGCTGACTGTTTCACTCTGGGTCCCAAAATCTGAGTTCATCCCAGCTCTCCTGCTCATTGTGTGATCGTGGATGACTTACTCTGTGCCTTAGTTTCCCCCTTTTGTAAATTGAGGGTAATACAAGCGCTACCCTTTCCTTTAGAGCAGTGGTTCTCAATCGAGTGGGAGGGGTGATTTGCCCCCTAGGGGACAGTTGGCAACATTTAGTGACATTTTTGGTTTTCGCAACTGGGGTGTGTGTGTGTTGGGGGGTGGTGATATTAGCATCTAGTATCAACCAGCTACCCCAGTTGAGGCCTGGGGTGCTGCTCAAAATCCTACAATGCACAGGATGGCCCTGACCACAGAGAATGATCCAGCCCCGAATGTCAACAGTGACGGTTGCGAACCCTGCCCTAGAGCACAGGAGTGGATTAGTGTCTGTAAAATACCAAGAGCCGACCAGAGGTAGGGCCCAGATGTACGCTGCGTTTAACGATCATCCTTCCAGACTTTAAAAAAAAAAAACCTTTTCATTTTGAAATAACTCGGGGCTTACAGAAAAATTACAAACACAAATATGGTTTTACTGGAAAATAGAATCATCCCACTGCCACTGCCATTTTTCACTTTGAAGTAGAGTGTAACCATCTTGTCAATAAATCTATAGAAAAGAAAAACACCCAATAATATATAGTATGGCTCCATTTCCCTGTCATTCTCTTAAGGTTAACTTCTTAAAAATTTAAAAACGATTTTTTAACTTAGGGATGAATTTAGGGAGTGGTGCTCTTTTTCTCCCCCAAGATGTGGGACAGAAAAATTATCAACAGATTGGAAATGTTTTGTGCAGAGATTGGCAACAAGCTGCTTGAAGGCACAGGAATTTCTCTGACCTTGGAGAGAGAAACTGGGGAGAGCCAGGCCCACCCACAGCAGGTCATTTGGGGCCTCTCTTGGCAGTGGACTGCTCAGCTCTCTGGACCTCTGGGCTGGCCCTGGACAGTTCTTTCTGTGTGTCCTGGGTGGGGTGGGGTGGGGAGAGAGGAAGAAGGTTCTGGCAGGTGGTGAAAGAGTCCCTTTCCCCCTCCAATCTCTTCAGCCTGTGGTGTTGAACACAAGGTTCTGCCTCATTTTTTCTTAAATTAGTCCCATGGGAACAGATCACAGGAAGGAAATAGGAGGCTCTTTGCTTCTGTTGATATTTTTGCCTTTTATTTGGTACAAATGTCCATTGGATCGGCCAAGTGAGCAAGTGTTTGGGAATCTTAAAAAACCAAATAAACAAAAGCTGCTATAATTTGCCTTTTCTGGCAGACCACAAGGTGGGAATGTGTTTGTGCAAGCAACATCCATCGGAGGCTTACTCAGGGTGCAGGGCTCGCTGGGGTTGCCACCTGGGGGGGCCGGGGCAGGGGCGAGGATGAGCTCAAAGGGTACAGAAGATTCAGCTCCTGCCCTGGGGACCCTCAAGATATAGTTAGGGGGAAAAGGAAAACGTTTCTCACAGAGAGAGCTAATCAAATACACAGCAGTGGGACAAGGCTCTCAGTGGGCACACACATGGCATAACTGAATTAGAAGAAATTACAGGAAAATCGCTGTGGTTTAGTGAAGCACAAACAGCTGACTAAGGATGGAGGAAGACACTAGCAATTGATGTTGGGGGCAGGGGGACTTACTGCGTTGGTTTACTTCGAGGTGTGGAGGTGTGTACAGACCTGGGGTTAGGAAGAGTCCGAAGTCTGCCTTTTTTTTTTTTAAGAGATGAGGTCTCTGTCATCAAGGCTGGAATGCTGTGGTGTGATTATAGTTCACTGCAGCCTCGAGTTCCTAAGCTCAAGTGATCCTCTAGCCTCAGCCTCCCAAGTAACTAGGAGTACAGGTGTGCACCACCACGCCTAGTTATTTTAGTAGAGATGGGGTCTCACTGTGATACCCAGGCTGGTCTTGAACTCCTGGCCTCAAGTGATCCTCCATCCTCAGCCTCCTGAGTAGCTGGGATTTCAGACACACAACACCACTCCTGGCTACTGGTTTGTCTTTTTTTGTTGTTGTTCATAGAAGGTGTTTGGTAAATGCTCAAGTACTCTTAAATGTGCCACCTCTGGAGGTGGCCTGGGTCCCAGTCTTGGTTCCTTGGCCTGTGTGCGCCTCAGTATTTCCATCTGTAAGGCTGGCATAACAGCCAGCTTTGTTGTAGTACATACAAGTTCTTAGGACAGTGTCTAGCATGGAACTCGTTAGGGTCAACCCTTATCATTTGCTCATCGAATACGTGATTAGGTCAGGACCAAGTTTGGGGAGATCTTACAAGCCAGCTGCTATTGGCAGTTTCTATGTAAGGGAGTTTGCTCCATTCAACAAATAGATATCTAGGCAACAATGGCAGACTAAAAAAAAAAGAAAAAAAAAGAAAAAAAAAACAAAAAAACAAATAGATATCAATAAGAAGCTTTAGCCTTTCAAGCACAAGAAAAAGACATACTCCAGTTGCTTTCAGTGATAGGGGAGGGAGGGCAGAGGTGCAAGGGACCAAGAAGTAGCCAAGGCATCACCTCTTTAGCGCCTGGTGACTCTGGGTCCCAGTGTCTCCAGGATGGGTATTCTGCAGGTGTTGCAGAAAACCAGAGTGGCGCATAATTTAGTCTTGCCTGCACCTGGTGATGTGCATTTTCTGCATGCGTTTATTCAGTCATGTACTAAGTATGTATTGAGCGCCGACAGTGTACTACATGTTCCTCTAGGTACTTGGGACCCAGCAGAGAGTGACACAGATTAGGCCCCTCCTCACACGCAGCCCAGTTATAGTGGAGGGGTGGGGGAGTAGATGACCCAGTACAAGGGATACTTGCATAAAAGCCGAGAAGTGACTACGACAGACTCGTGGGCCAGAAAAGAGATGCTCAGAGGAGAAGTCAGGGAAGGCACCTGTGCAGGGCCATTTGAGTTGAGACCTACCACAAACCTCTAGCCACTTCCCCAGAGAGAGAGTCTGCTGAACCGGATTGTCCCATGTAGTTGGGAGCCAGGCCACACCAGCTCAGGAGTCGGCTCAGTCAAGGCCAGTCCATAGGTAAAAAGCCCTTGAGTAGTCCTAGCTACTTGGGAGGCTGAGGCAGGAGGACCACTTGAGCGCAGGAGTTTGAGGCTGCAGAGAGCTATGATGGCACCACTGCACTCCAGCTTGAGCGACAGAATGAGACCCTGTCTTTAAAAAAAAATAATAAGGCCCTTAAATCCCATGTCTGTGTGTAAACTTGTGGGTCCCACTCCTGGATGAGGTTCTGTCCCTTCATTTGCTCACCTGGTGAGCAACAGAGCAGGAGTTTCACGCCCTTTGGAATAAGCTTGCCCACTTACGGAGCAGCAACGGCCTTGCTAAGTATGGTTGCCAGCCATGGCAGTGCACGCTCCCAGTGTCTGCCACCCCTTCATCTCCCTCCTGTCCCTAAACCAGGAGAAGGAATCCATCCTGCAAAACCTCCAAAGAACCCAAGGCTAGGAGACTCTGATGGCGGCCCCCAGGGTTCCAAGCCGGACTGTTTGCGTCACCTTGAAGAGTCAGAAGGCACGCCAGGACCTGCTTCCTCTACACAGTACAGCAAGGAGGAACCGGGACAGGCGGTCTCCAGGTGGGTGGCTCAGAACATTCCAGCAGGCCTCCTCACTGACACACACAGCCGCCTAGTGACCAGGGATGCGGTGGGAAGGGAACCAACATGACCCATCCAGTGCTGTGAGCTCCCCCCTCCCCAGAGCTCGGGGCCCTCAGATCTTGCTCTGATAGCTTTCCTCCCTGGTGGAGAAAGGTTGTTATTTTAACCACGGGCAAAGATAACATTGAATTATTCAAGGTTACAGAATGAAACTCGTGATCTGTCTGTCTGCTGGTCAAATCTGTATTTCTTCCACATTCCTCCCCCTCAACCAAGAAGGGATGGAAGGAGTCACTGGTGTGTGAAATAATAACCAATAAAAAGAAGAACAATGAGTATGTAACAGGCAGCATGCTCCTAAGCACTTTGCACGCATGAGCTTATTAAATTCTTACCTAGCTGTGAAATATGTTTTTTTAATCCCCAATTTACAGGTGGGGACCCTGAGGGCTTAGAGAGATGAAGTGACTTGCCCAAGGCCTCTGGGCTGGTGAGGGCGGGCTGGGATTCTGGCTGCATCCATTTCCGGTGTTCTTAACCACTACGGATTCCTGGGTTCCTCATTTCATTAAATATGTAATTAAGCATGGTGGAGAGGAAAGAAAGACCTCAAGAATGATTAGTATGTCCACAGGGCTTAAACCACATATGTGTAACTATGGGAAAGTAGGAAGAGTTAGCTGGAGTTAGAAGCAAGGTTTCTGCTAGCTGAAGTCTTCAGAGAAGGCATTGTGGGTTGGACTACCAGATTTCCTGAGGAGAAAAATTGAGGCACATGGTTTGACCAACAGAACTGTTCTCTAAGCGGAGTGTGCATTATGTCTGTCTGATCTTAGGTCATTATAATATTAGGGCTAGAGCCTGGATCACAAGGCCAGAAACACTCGGGTCCTTTGGCAGTCCTGCTGTGTGAGCCATGTGAAGAGAGGCTGTGTCACACCGAAGCCATCCTCTCAGACAGATGTGACAGTGTCACTGTGCTCCTCTCTCTTAGCCAGTGGGCTGTCCCGGTCATGGCCGCTGCCCACCCAGCCTTCTAAGTCCACAAGAATGGTGAATTATGTGGATTCCCACCCTTTTTTGTTTTTGTTTTGGTTTTTTGAGACAGAGTCTCGCTTTGTCGCCCAGGCTAGAGTGAGTGCCTTGGCGTCAGCCTAGCTCACAGCAACCTCAAACTCCTGGGGTCAAGCAATCCTCCTGCCTCAGCCTCCCAAGTAGTTGGGACTACAGACATGTACCACCATGCCCGGCTAATTTTTCTTATATATTAGTTGCCAATTAATTTCTTCTATTATAGTAGAGATGGGGGTCTCGCTCTTGCTCAGGCTGGTTTCGAACTCCTGAGCTCAAACGATCCACCCGCCTCGGCCTCCCAGAGAGCTAGGATTACAGGCTTGAGCCACTGCGCCTGGCCTTGTTTGTTTTTTAAACATTGCATTAAAAAATATCATGGGCTGGGCACAGTGGCTCACACCTGTAATCCTAGCATTCTGGGAGGCTAAAGCCGGAGAATCGCCCAGGGGTTTGAGACCAGCCTGAGCAAGAATGAGACCCGGTCTCTACTAAAAATAGAAAGAAATTAGATGGCAACTAAAAATATATAGAAAAAATTAGCTGGGCTGGTGGCACATGCTGTTTGCCAGCTACTTGGGAGGCTGAGGCAGAGGATGCGCTTGAGCCCAGGATTTGAGGTGCTGTGAGCTAGGCTGACACCACGGCACTCTAGCCCGGGCAACAGAGCGAGACTCTGTCCCAAAAATAAAATAAATAAATAAATACCATGTACACAGAAAAAGACAGAGAAAAAAACAACATGAAGCAAACAGAGCTTAAGATATTTATGTTGGGCTGGGCGCGGTGGCTCACGCCTGTAATCCTAGCTCTTGGGAGGCCGAGGCGGGCGGATTGCTCAAGGTCAGAGTTCAAAACCAGCCTGAGCAAGAGCGAACCCCATCTCTCATAAATAGAAAGAAATTAATTGGCCAACTGATATATATATAAACAATTAGCGGGCATGGCCGCATGCCTGTAGTCTCACATCGGGAGCTGAGGCAGAAGGATCGCTCGAGCCCAGGGAGTTTGAGGATTGCTTGTGAGCTAGCTGACCCCGGCACTACATCCTACCTGGACAACAAGCGAGACTCGCGTTCAAAAAAAAAAAAATAAAAAAAAGGATATTTATGTTGGAAAATGAAATCTTGCCAGCGCCCTAGAAGCTGCTCAGATGACCAACCCCAATTTTTTTTTTTTAATAAAGCATAGCACTGAGATTTGAGTCCCACCCAATTTTAAATTTTCCAACAGACTCTTCCTCTTCAGGTCTAGACTTTGCCCTTCACCTGCCTTTCTAACCTCCCTGGAACAATTCAAGCCCTTTGGGGGATCTTCATGCTTTTCTGGGCACCACTTCCAAATTCGAACTTATCTGAAATTTTAGTTCCAGATATTGATTTTTTTTTTTTTTACAAAATACATATCCACGTTTATTTAGATATAACCCTGTCTGACCAGTTTTTTTAGATGTTGTAGTTGGGGTTTTTTGCTTTTGTTTGAGATAGGGTCTTGCTCTGTTGCCCAGGCTATAGTGCAGTTGGCATTGTCCTAGCTCACTGCAACCTCAGACTCCTAGGCTCAGGTGATCCTGCCTCAGCCTCCTGAGTAGCTGGAACTACAGGCTCTCGCCAATATCGCATGTCTTATATTCACAATATCCTTTCTCTACAGTGTGCAATATTGGGAGCTAGAGTGTCGGTCCAAATGACAGTCCCATTCTTGGCAGGATGCAGTATAGCCTCAATGCCTTATCCCAGCACTTTGGAGGCGGGAGGAGGATCACTTGGGCCTAGGAATTCGAGGCTGCAGTGAACTATGATCATACTACTGCACTCCAGCCTGGGCTGTGACAAAGCAAGACCCTGTCTCTTTAAAAAAAAAAAAAGAGAGAGAGAATCTCTGTTCTTATGTCAGGAGCCAATTCCTGGAATTTTAAAAATGCCAGATTAGGTCGTTTGTATCATTGGTGTGAGACTCTGCACCCTCCTTGGCAGTTAAATGTGATCAGGCCACTGCCCCTCCTCCATCCCACCCTTTTGAAGTAGGTCTTCTGGAGCCTCTTAGCACCCATTTCCTCCTGGATTTTATTTTCTGTTTGTCTTAATGTGTGAGTTGACAGCCTAGGAAGACTTCACATGCCCCTCAGTTTTGTCTCTGTACACACAGCTCCCCTGATGAGGAAACCGGAGCTCCGTACAGGCTCCCCGGGCCACCGGAGAGGGAGCCAGCTGCCCTTCCTCCTTCCCAGGTGAGCCTGCTCTGTGGCCTCGGATGCGAATGTGTAAGACTCCCTTAAGCTCAAGTGTCTCTATTCATCCTCTAGAGCTTCTCATGGCCAAGGGGGCTGGAGGGAACGTGCACAGGCCTGAGGGCAAGGACCAAGTTCTTTCAAGGCCATGGGAAAGGAACCGGTTTGGGGTTGTTTTTTCCCTGAGACCTCATTCTTCCCTTATCTTTATTGCTGCTTTGTTCTTGTTGTATCTGGTTTAACAGAACTCAGTTGGGAGGTTTGTCCCCCAATTTTCAAACCCCAGGAAGATGGTGGCAAGAAAAGCAGAGACCAGGGAAGAGGACCTCGGGAGTGGGACCTTCAGCCCGGTAAGACCCTAAAACCCGACCGCCAGAGAGCCCCGAGCACGTGCAGCCTCTTGGCCCTGCCTCTGCAGCCGTGTTGAACATTGGTTTTCTTCGGCCATGGCTAGGCCTGCCCCTCCCCACCTGCAGGTTTCAGTACTTGGCAGCTACAGTTGGCTCTTGGGTGTGCACCTGACTTGCTGGGAGCTCGCAGGCTGTTGGGCGCATTCAGGACAACCGCACCTGCACTGCCGGGGTCGAGGCCAGAGCCCCCTGCCCCAGGTTGCATGGAAATGCTGGATCTCAGAAAGGCATTATGTGCCAATTAAAGATAATAACTTTTTTTAAAAAAGGCAGCCTACATTCTATCCCTGATCCCCTCTTTCTCAGGGGCTTTGGTGCAAATCAGGGCACCCTTTACAGCTCTCTTTTCCTTCCCATCATGAATTCTGGGGGAACTCATGATAAGCCTCTGGCAACATACGCCCCTAAAAAAAAAAGTAGGTGGTGAACATTGACAGCTGCTGTGTTTGCCATCACCCCAAACTGGGAACACCCCATATATCCTTTGACGGGTTCAATGAGCCATGGTCCATCCACCGGGAAACAAGGCTGCAGCAATCTAAAGGACCACACTCTAGTTAGTGATGCACGCGACAACGCAGTGGCTCTCCTGGGCAACATGCACAGCGGGAAAAGCCAGTCCCAAAGGCTACCTACCATAGGATCCCATCTACATAACATTATTGAAGTGACAAAATTAGAGAGATGGAGGACAGATTCGTGGTTGCCAGGGGTTGGGGACAGGGTGGGTGGGGCATGGGAGTTGGATGCAGCTAGAAAGAGCAGCTGGTATAAAAGGATCCTTGTAGTGTTAGAACCGTGCAGTTGCTTGACTGTGGCGGTGGCTACACAAATACACAAAGCCACACAGGTGACAGAACTGTCAGGAACTTAATACACCCTCAAACGAGTACACATCCCAACAGGAAGATCTGAATAAGGCCAGTGCATCTTATCACCGTCAATATCCTTCTCACGATACCGTGTTTGAGTTCCACAAGAGGTTACCTTTGGGGAAACTGGGTAAAAGACACGAAGGTTCTTTGTGTATTACTTCTTACAAGTTTTATTTAAGGAGGGGCATTAGCGTCCCTGTGGATTGAAGATGTGTGATAAGGGCTTTTCGTAGCTCCTCAGGCTAACAGTTACATTTCATGTTAGGTGTATTTACCACAGTGTTTTTTTATTTTTTTTTTTTTTTTTTATTTTTATGACAGAGTCTCCCTTTGTTGTCCAGCTAGAGTGAGTGCGTGGCGTCAGCCTAGCTCCAGCAACCTCAAACTCCGGGCTCAAGCGATCCTCCTGCCTCAGGCTTCCCGAGGTAGCTGGGACTTACAGGCATGCGCCACCATGCCCGCGCTTGATTTTTAGATTATATCAGTTGGCAAATAATTTGTTCTATTATAGCGTAAGAGACGGGTCTCGCTCTTGCTCAGGCTGGTTTTGACTCCTGACCTGATGCAGAATCCGGCCCGCCTCGGCTCCAAGAGCTAGGATCTACAGGCGTGAGCCACAGCGCCCGGCCTCCACAGTGTGTTTTTATTATTGTTATTTTCCAAAGACAGGGTCTCACTGTGTTGTCCAGGCTGGAGTGCAGCGGCACAATCATAGCTCACTCCAAGCTTGAACTCCTGGGCTCAAGCGATCTTCCTGCCTCAGCCTCCTGAATAGCTGGGACTACAGACATGCACGTACCATGCCTGGCTAGTTTTTCCATTTTTTTTTTTTCATTTTTGTTTTTTTGCTGATATGACAGAGAGACTTTTTTTTTTTAATAGAGACAGAGGTCTTGCTGTGTTGCCCAGGCTGGTCTGAAACTCCTGGCCCCAAGCAATCTGCCCACCTCAAGTTCCCAAAGTGCTAGGATTACAGGTGTAAGCCATTGTTCCTGGCCAAGTGAGTTAAAAAAAATTATGGTAAACTAGCCTGGACAACATGGTGAGACCTCATCTCTACCAAAAAAAATTAAAAACTTAGCCAGGGCAACTGAGGTGAGAGGATTGCTTAAGCCCAAGACTTTGAGGCTGCAGTGAGTTACGATGACACCCCTGCACTCTAGCCCAGGCAACAGAGTGAGACCCTGTTTCAAAAGAAAGAAAAAAAGTTAAGATGGCAAATTGTATCTGTTTTTTTTTTGTTTTGTTTTGTTTTGTTTGAGACAGAATCTTGCTTTGTTGCCCAGGCTAGAGTGAGTTCCATGGTCGCCTAGTCACAGCAACCTCAAACTCCTGGGCTCAAGCAATCCTCCTGCCTCAGCCTCCTGAGTAGCTAGGACTACAGGCATGCGCCACCATGCCCGACTAATTTTTTCTATATATATTAGTTGGCCAATTAATTTCTTTCTATTTATAGTAGAGACAGGGTCTCGCTCTTGCTCAGGCTGGTTTCAAACTCCTGACCTCGAGCAATCCACCCACCTCGGCTTCCCAGAGTGCTAGGATTACAGGCGTGAGCCACCGCGCCCGGCCCTGTTTTTTTTTTTACCATGTTAAAAAAATAAAATAAAAGCCAGTACAGAGAGGTTCCAGTGTTCCCTCTCTCAGCTTCCCGTACTGGTAACGCCTCCCGTGACTACAGCCCATCATCAAACCCAGGCAGTTGACATTGGTGCAATGTGCATGCCACCTTGGTTTTTACACCCCTGACCCTCCCAAGTGCCCATGCTGGCAGGGAGAAGGACCCAGTGGGAGGAGAGGTGTCCGTACTGGTACTGATGCCTATTTTGGTTCACAACGGTCGCTGCCAACATCTGACTCTTTGGACAGGGGCAATAATGCTTGATGATTGAAGGCCCCCAGGGCTGAGTCTTTTTGTCTCCACAGGAAACACCTCCAGAGCCCAGTGCCTGGCAGGCAGGAAGTCGGCAGCAGGAGGAGTCCCCAGGGCTCGCTGTCCAGGAGGGCAGGAACCCGATGCAGGCAGATGGCGCCTGCCCTGAGCAGAGCAGCCAGGACCCCGCGAGCCCCCTGCCCAGCCGTGGAGATGCTCAGCCTGAGGCCCCTCCAGAAGGTGGGGCAGGACCCGCTGCCCCGGAGACGGCCAGCCATGACCAGCTTTCGGAGCCAGAGGACCAACATGCTGCTTGGCAGAAACTCTGGGAACAGCAGGCCCTGAGAAGGAGAAGACCTGGGTTCCAGGCAGCGGTGGCCAGGAAGGGCATGTGCCAAGCAGCGATGCTAAAGGGATGGAGCCAGATGGAGGAGCCCCCCAAGACGGAGGAGCCCCCCAGGAGGGAGGTGCCCCCCAGGACGGAGGAGCCCCCCAGGAGGGAGGTGCCCAAAGGGAGGCAGAGGCTGACCAGCCTGGAGGGTCCCAGGAGGAAGGAGACAGTGTCCTCAGTGCCCCACCGTCAGCTTCTCCCTCAGACCCTGCTCGGGGACTGGGCCCTGCCACTGGGTGCCCAGAGCCCAGGTGTGTGGCCCAGGATCCCCCTGACCCCTGGCAGACACCCCATGGGACTGGCGGGGTTGTGGAGCGGAGCCGCAGCAGCCCAGGATGCACCTCACTGGGGGAGGCTGTCATTGCAGACCTGAGCGTGGACCCCCCAGAGCTGGAACAGAGGGCCCTGGAGGTGGCCGGGTCGGATGAGCAGGCCGATGCCAGCTGGCCTGCCTCTCCCAGGGGGAAGGACGCTGACGAAGGCCACAGGATGGCCCTGCCGGGCTGCACACCCCTTACCGGGGAGACCTCAAGAGGCAGAGGGGAGGTGGGGCAGGAAGACCATCCCCCTGGCGACATCCCGGTGGGCCCTGCGACCCCCCTGGCTCTGGCTCCTGGGAACGAAGAGCCCACAGTGGGCGCTGGAGATCCTGGCCATCTAGCCCCAGATGCAGGTCCAGGTGTCAGTCAGAAACAGGTGCCAGGCCCTGACCAAGAGGCAGCTGAGTTAGGCAGCCGGAGCCACGAACAAGACCCCAAGGGGCCCAGTGTGTCCCTCCAAGCCTCAGGTCTGCTGGAGCACAGCGAAGGGGCGGGTGGCCCTCAGGAGACCCAGGCCCGCCAGGACAGTCCAGACACCCCTGCAGACCCAGGGGCACCGCAGCCCGACCACCCTCCTCATCCTGCAGACCAGGCCACCTGGGGGGGCTCCCTAGCCGTGGAGCTCGACTTCTTGCTGGACAGCCAGATCCGGGAGGCACTGGACGCCTCTGACTTTGAATCCCCGCCTGAGCAGGTGAGAGCTGCTCCGAGTTACAGACTGGCCCGGGGCGGGTGCGGAGTAGCCGAGAGCCCTCTCCCCAGACCGCCCAGCGGCGGAAGGAAGGTGGGGCTCGTAGTGTCCCATGGATACAGCAAACTAGGAGTCGGGGTCAAAGCTCTGCTGGGCAGGCTTTCCAGAAAGGGCAGACTTACTTTTCTGCAAGGGGCCTGTCCGTGAGGTTGCTGAGGAGTCCCAGGGTAGTGACACACAGACACTTTGTCATCCAGGGCCCTCCCACACTTGAACTGGAGCCCCCAGGGGTGCGAACCCCTGGCAGCTCCCCCTTTAGCACCTGCCGCTGGCCACAGGCTCCCGAGGGGTATACTGAGGGCGATGGACCCAAAGGGGTGGCCCGAATAAGCCAGTTATGCTCTGGTTTCTCTTCAGATTGTATAAATCTTACGCCTTTTACCAAATAAGCTGGTGACTTCACAGCTGGGCCTGTGGAGGGGACTTCACTCCCACGCTGGAAATGAGCCTTTGCCTGTCTACGTGGGGTCACTGGGGAGTCCCGGTATGATTCTTTTTTCAAACATAGATAAAGAATTCTGGTTTTTTGCTGGAATTTCTAAGGGCCTTACCTCTGCCCACTGGCAGGCTGCCCGGGTGTTGCCTTCCCTGACTGCAGAACCTGTTGCAGTTGCTGGCGTTCACCTGTCGAGGCAGATGGCAGCGTGACTGTCCCACAGTTGGCACACCTGAGCCTAGGCTGAGGGCCCTGGGAGGTAGGCGGCTCCTTCCCACACACTGGGTGTGGCAGCAAAGAGGCTGAAAAGAGGCCATGCACCTGCCGGAGGTGAGGCAGGTGGGAGGGCAGGAGGCTGGGTTGGCACCCAGGTCCGCCCGAGTCTGAAGCCGCACCCCGGCTGCCCTGTTCTGGGACACGGAGCCCAATCAGCTTTCAAACATCAGCCTCTGTTTCTTTGGCTGTCTCTGTTGAGATGTTAAACAAAATTTATTCAGGCTGTGCTCGGTGGCTTCTAGCACTTTGGGAGGCAAAGTCGGGAAGATTGCTTAAGGCCAGGAGTTTGAGACCAGCCTGAGCAAGAGTGAGACCCTGTCTCTACAAAAAATAGAAAAATTATCCAGGCTTGGTGGTGCTTACCTGTAGTCCCAGCTACTAGGGAGGCTGAGGCAGGAGGATCGCTTGAGCCCCAGAGTTTGAGGTTGCTGTGAGCTATGATGACGCCATGGCACTCTGGCTGGGGTGACAGAGCGAGACTCCATCTCAAAAAAACAAACAAAAACAAAAATTCATTCAGTATGTGTATTTCTTGAGAGCCTGCTCTGTGCCAGGTGACAGTGGTGAACAGATCGGACGTGTCCCTGCCCCTGTGGGGTCTATGGTAGCCCCGTCCCCACCCGTGTCCCCCAGAGCGAGCATTTTGTACCGTCTCATTCCGGCACTGAAAGAGTGTTTTCGCAGGACGCATTCCCCACTTGCAAGTGAAGGGTTTCGTCTGGGGCGCAGCTGAAGAGGCCGCGGCTGTTCCCACTTTGGAGGGGACTGTGGCTGGGCCGGGCTTGTCGAGAGGTGGCTGTGGGTCTCCAAGGCACTGCTTTCCTAAGGGATTTCCAGGGCTCCTTTGCGACCCTCTGTGGTGCGTCTGTGCTGTGATCTTTCAGCCTTTCCTGCCACACAGCGTGCAGTGTCCTCTCTGTGCCGTCCTGGGCCCCTCAGGCCCACCCGGCTCAGGCTCTCATCGTCACCAGATGGATGTGATCGCTGAAGGCGCGCGCAGTGCGGTTCAGCCACGGTGCAAACACCAGCGCTTGGGAAAGGTAGGGGCTCAGGTGCTGGGCACGGGTGAGAGTTACGACGACAAGAGCCTCATCCCTTGGAAAATGCGGATCCTGCCCTTGGGCAGAACTGCCTCTGTTGCCTCCAGTCTCGCCTCCCAGGCAGCGGCTAGGAGAGAAGGCTGGGATGTGCTTGGGGCGCGCGGGCTCGGGCGTGCCCGGTGGCGCCCAGCCGGCGAAGAAGCCGGCCCCTGCAGAACAGGCCGCCAGAGCTTCAGAAAGGTGTCGAAGAAGTCGGGATCTTCGGGATCCGGGGCAGACAACCAGCGTCACCGCCTTTCCCAGCTGGGGGAGGAGGCGCCGCCCTGACCACACCACCGAGGCCGGGCGTGTTTGGTTCTGGCACTGGGCGTTCCCAAGCAAGTCAGGGCGACCCAGACAAGGAGCACGTTCCCGTGGGAAGGCAGAGGCACCTGGGAACAGAGCAATGACTGACGGAGAGGACCGTCGCGGTGGCCTCCTGCAGGCCTCACCAGGGGCACACGCTGTGTGAGGAGGGGACTCGGGAGTTATACAGCAGTGACACCAGTTTCGACCCTCAAGCCAGAATCTCCTCATGGTGTCTCTGCTCCCACCCTCTGTCCAGTGGAACCTGCGCAGGCTGCACACGGACTCATTTAAGAAGCTGAGGCCGGCCGCAGTGGCTCACGCCTCTAATCTGGCACTTTGGGAGGCCAAGGTGGGAGGATTGATTGAGGTCAAGAGTTTAAGATCAGCCTGGGCAGCATAGCAAGACCCCAACTCTACAAAAAATTTTTAAAAATTAGCCAGGCATGGTGGTGCCTGCCTGTAGTCCCAGCTACTCAGGAGACTGAGACAGGAGGATCGCTTGAGCCCGGGAATTCGAGGTTGCAGTGAGCTATGATCCTGCCACTGCACTCCATCCTGGGTGACAGAGCAAGACTTTGTCTAAAAAAAAAAAAAATGTATATATATATATATATATATATATCTCCACACCTGGTGCAGTGGCCCGTGCCTGTAGTGCCAGGTACTCAGGAGGTTGAAGTGGGAGGATCACCTGAGCCCAGGAGTCGAAGGTTGCAGTGAGCTATGGTGACGCCACTGCACTCCAGCCAGAACAGAGCACAAACGTGCAGAGACTGCAGCAGTGTGGGAGCCAGAGAACTTGGTGACGCCACCCCCCACACAGCCACCTGCGGGAGGGTCTGGGCCCAGGACAAGATACCAGAGCCAGGCCCGGCACTGCCACGTCCGTCCGCTTTCTTTCTGAGGGGGAGGGCGAGAGCAGCCCCGGCTAGTCACCCCAGGTGCCGCCATCACAGTCCCCGCACCCCGTGTTTCTCCCGAAGAAGTCCTGCAGTGACTTTGGCTTCCCCTGCAGGGCTCGCCCAGCGGTGTGCTCACACGCGGTGCTCTGTCTCTTTTTCCAGCTGTTTCCTGCGGGGAGCAGGCCAGGCCCTGGCTGGCCCGGCCCCAGCCCATGTACCAACGGAGACCCCATCGAAGTGGCCAAGGCCCAGCCAAGGTAGGTGCAGGGCGGGTGGGTGGGACACAGCTCCAGGACCCTCACCTGTTTTCCCGAACAGGGTGACGGACCTCACTGGGCTTTCCTTTCCTCCATCCCATAAGGGAGCAGAGCCCCATCTTTCAGTCTGTGGGTGTCCCCTGCTCCCAGACGTGGGAGACCAGCGATCTGCACCCAAAGCAGTGTCTCCCTCTGGGAGTCCTGGGACGGGGACCCCAGCCCTGCGGGTGGTTTCAGTGCGCACACGTGGGTCTCTGGGAAGAGGGGCCAGAGCCTTCCTGGAGTCTCGGTGGAGGGAAAGGGGACGCGGCTCGGAGCCAGGGCTGAGACGCTCTTGGCGCCATTCCCAGGGCTGGCACTGGGCAGGGGCTCAAGGGACTGTGACCTGCCCTCGTCCCATCACCTCCACCTGCACCCATGCCCTGCCCTAGCGCCCTTCCCCAGCCCTGCCCGCAGCCGGTGCGGGCGGCTGCCCTCTCCTGTTACCGGGTACCTGAGCCTGCCTCTCCGCACAGGCGGCAGCTCATCTGTTATTTATGGCCGAGTTTCTGCTTCTGTCTGGCAAGCGTGGAGGACTCGGGACACGGCCCTTAGCCATGCGAGGCCCCCTCCCGCTCCTCTCAGCAGAGGGTGGCCGAGTTCCCATCCTGCCCTGGCACATTCACTGGGCCTGCCACCTGCCTCGCACACTCACTGGGCCCGCCACCTGCCCTGGCACACTCGCTGGTGCGTTCCTCGTACACCCCAGGCGCGGCCTGCACGCGGGCCAGAGGCAGGTCTGTCAGAGAGGCCCCGCTACAGCTTGAACAACCAGGAGGGAGATTTCGTGTCTGAGTCTCCAGCGGTCTCACTGGGTCAGTGCGACCCTGTCCCATGGATGTCTGGAAGCCCCCAGAGAGGGTCCCAGGGTCCAGTGCACACCCCGAGGCTGAATGAGACGCCCGGGGCGCCACGGGCAGGTGCGGTAGGACCCGGGTTCCCCTCCTGACAGCCCTGGAGGTGCGGCCAAGCCTGGGCTGGGGTGGCTTTAGGGAGGCCACCACTCTTCTGTCCGTCCCACGTCTGAGGGGCTGCAGAGCCTCAGGAGGGACTGCAGCCGGGCCGGGTGTCCACCGTCACAGCCCTGGTGCGGTGTGGCAGGCAGGCTGTAGGGCGAGGAGCGGAGGAGGCGGTGGCAGCAGTCAGAGCGGCTGCACAGAGAGTAGAGCTTGGGGGCTGGGCTGCCAGGGCTCTGCCGGTGACCAGAGAAGGGCAGGCCGGACTTCCAGAACAGGAGATGGCCCGAGGCCCAGGGAAAGGCCCTCGCCTCGACTTCCTTCTCTTCCCACCAGGACGCACGTTGGGGTCCAGGCCTGTGAGGCCTCCGGGATGGAGGACGCCACAGCCGTCGTGCGTGGCCTAGTCGTCGAGCTGTCCAACCTGAAGTAAGGGCCGGGCTGGACCCACAGGGGAGGGGCGGAGGGGACAGGGCCGCGGGAGGGACAGGGCCGAGGGAGGGACAGGGCTGCAGGAGGGCCCGTCGGGGCAGGGAGAGACTGAGGCGCGAACCCCCACGGTGGGCGGCGAGGGCTGGGCCTCCACTGCGGCTGCGCCCGTGTGGGTTCACTGTCCGCGCAGAGCTGTTTGGGTGGCAGGGGCCGTCCCAGCCTGCTGTGCCACAGGCCAGTTCTGGCCGTGTGCACGCGCGTGAGCAGCAGGACAGACGCGGGGGCCTGTGAGGGGCGGCGGCCCCCGTCCGTCCTCGAGGAGACCGCCGAGCCCCTCAGGCCGTGCCGTTTCTGCCGCAGCCGGCTCATCATGAGCGCCCACCGAGACCTGGAAGCCTTCAAGCGCCTCAGCTACCGCAAGGCGAAGCCGGCAGGGAAAGGGCCCCCGCCCTTCTCCCCCAAGGGGGCTGGGAGTGTCCCCCGGGGGGAGCAACCCTGGAGGGACTTGTAGGCTGCTTCCCAGGGGCCTGGACAGCGACCGACTGGGGTGTGTGTTTTCCTCTGCACCCCTGCCCGTGCCCCTGGGGCACCTGGTGTTTTGTTTCCCCTCCAAGATGCTCCAGGGGGTCTTAGTGGCCCGGTAACCTCCCCTCAGCCAACCTGGCCGTCAGCCCCCCACGAGCTACACACAGGAGGCTGGGGTCCTGCCCTGGCCACCTGGCACAGCGGGAGGGAGCCTGTGTCCCCCACAGCCACAACCGCTCCAGGAGGCCCCAAGCCGAGGTTACGGATGCTTCAGAATTTGCGTCTTTCCTAAGTAGTAAAGGGCTCCTTTGTCGTGTTTCTCCCTATTTTCACTTTAGTTCTCCTGGGAAGATAATAAATGATCTGTCAGGAGGCCCCCTGACCTGTTGTTTGGGGTTGAGACATTCGACATCCCGCCAAACCTCTCTGACCACCTCTTTCTCCTGGAGTGTCACTCGGCCTCCCGGGGCGGGCCTGTTGGGAGTCTGCGCCCAGGAGCCGCCAGCTGTGTCCGCGCGCACGTGTGCACGCTTGAGCGCTCGAGCACACACCAGGTGTCTGTGGAGCGGGGAGCCCACTGAGACGCCGTGGGCGACCACCCAGCGAGAGTGTGAGTGCGGCACCCAGATGGCCCGGCCTGACCTCCACCGGACAAGCCGCTTCCAGGCGCCCAGCCAGGAAGGCGGGGACTCTGGGCGATGACGCGGCTCAGGGCGCACACAGCACCAGTGCCGTCCTCCCCAGCTTTCAGAAACCGGCGTCTCTGTGAAATCGCTCACTGCAAGGACGACCAGACCCCAGGTGTCATTAGTGGCTCTGCCTGTGGCTCCTGCACCTGGCCCCCCACGGCCAAGGCAGAGTCCCCCCCCTCATACCCAGGGGACACCGTGCGGGAGGACAGCCAGGTAGGCCACACCCCGGCTGCTATGACTGTGCAGTCGGCAGTTTGCAGACAGCTGACAGGTGGCAGGTTGCTGTGTCCCACCCAACTCAAGTCACAGACCCTTGGGGCCGCTGGGGTCTTTCTGTGTTTCCTTCCTCCTCCCCTCTCCCCCCATGTTCCTGGCGGCAGGCCCTCCTCGAGGACTCTTAGTAGCTCCCATCCCTACTTAGTAGCAGAGGGGGACCCATGAAGTCCAATTCCTGCTCCCCTCCCCCGCCCTGGGAGGCCGAGCGGGCTGGAGCCCAGGCCCTGGGGCCAGTTGAGGCCATCACCACCCACCACCCCAGCAGACGAGGCTGGGGGGTGGAGGAAGCTGGCAGGGGCAGGGGGATTCCTCCGAGGGCAGCCCCCCGCACCCCGAGAACAGGGTCCCATCCCTCTCGAGCTCCTGCCCAAGCTGACCCAGGCTACTGCCGCCCTGCTCAATCCCATCCCTCAGGACGTAGTCCCACCCCTGCCCCCACGTGTCCCCTTCTTGTCCTGGGCTGCCTGGCACTTGGCTCCTAGGCACTGGGGCATCCAGTGACACACACACACGCACCCAGGGGCTCCTCAGTGCGGAAGCTGGGGGAAGGCTCGGCTAACGGTCCCTCAATTTCCCCCTCAAATCAAGCCCCAGCCCCAGGGCAGGGCTAGAGGGTGGGTGGAGGGAGGTTGCCAGTCTTGTGTGTCAGCGTGCAGGGGGTGGCTGCCGTGTCTGCAGAAAGGGCGTCACGACGCTGACCTGGCCCCAAGTGGTGTGTTCAGAAGGGCCGGGCTGGGGCCCTCTTGGAACCCACAGCTGCCCCGCGGCGCCCACTCCTGTTTCTTGGCACGAGGCAGCCCCCCTACACCCCGGAGTGAACCGAAACTCAAACATCCATGGGGGTGGGGGAAGGAGGTCCAGGTATAGGACCGTCCTTGCAAGGTTCACACGACCTTGTCCCAAGACTGGGCCTTTTTGGACGTTGGTTGATCCATTCATAAGCATTTATTGAGCGCTGACTGGGTGCCCGCACGGGCGGAGATGACAGCTGTGAGCAGCAGACTGTCACTGGGCCGGCAGCTTGGCAGGGAGGGTGGGGTGCCCGAGAACGGCTCCTTACAGGGGTGGGGAGGGGATGGGGGTGTTCCCTGGCCAGCCCCAAACAGCCACCATCTCCCCAACACACACTAGGAAAGGTCTAGGGGCGGGTCCTCCTAGGGTAGATCTTCCCGGAAATCCAGCCTCCACCGCCGCGCCTGGGTCCACGTCCCGGGGAAGGCGGCCTCCTAGGTGGAAGTGGACGGGCAGCAGGAAGAGGGTGGTCCGGACTTCCCGGCACCTTTGGAACCTGGATGGTAAAGCAGAGGGGGAGGGAGAGAAGCACTGAATCCCGGGCACCGGCCCGTCCTCCCGGAGAACTCTGGGTTCAGCCCACACGGCTGCTGGGGCTCTGGCGCCACCCAGGGGCTGCTCCTGAGACAGCAACCGGTGACATTCCTGGCCGGGGTGGGACCCAGAGCCCCAGACAAAGCACAGGAATTCCGACTCCGGTGACCGGGCTGCCTCCTGGTGGCCGCCGGGCTCTGGGGTCCCGGATCCGTTACCCTCAGAACAGATTAATCCGGGTGGCCGGCGCTGGCAGCCTTTCTGTGCCAATACGGTGGTGAGGGCACCCCGCCGCCCCACCCTCCACTCCCGGAGACAAGTTTTCCTGTTCCCTAGGACTTAAGGGGCTAAAAGAAAAAAATCTGAGACCATCAGCTTGTAGGGACTGGCAGCGGGCCCTAATCACACTTCCCAGGGAATACTGCCTTCTAGAGGCACTGTCACGCCATTCTAGCGCTCACTGCCGCTGCGCCACCGGGTGGCGGTGCCCAAACGCGCCAAGTCAGACCTGCCGCCTCCGCGGGCGGACTTCCTCGAAGGCCATTGAAGTTGCTAGAACGGGTTTCTCTTTTAAAACCCCACAGGACTGAGGTCTTTTTTTTTATTTTTTTTTTTTTTACCTCAAGACAAGCAGCAATATGGACTGAGGTCTTTTGCATCCAGCATAGTAACCCCTGCCATTTCTGCCCCGGGCTGCTCAGAGCTTCGGTTGGGAGGTTAGAAATGCAGATGCCCGGGCCCCACCCCACCTGGGGGAGACGTGCAGTCTAAGGGGAGCCTGCCTGCTCAGGCCCCCTGGGCACAGCTCTGTCCTAAGCTTCAGCCCCAGCTGTCCTCCCGAGCTGACCCCCCCACAGCAAATTCAAAACAGGGTGCACCTGTCCAACCTACCGTTCCCCTCTCTCCTCACTGCCTCGGACACCTCTGCCTGGAGGGCCACCGCAGCTTCCAAGGCCCTCGAACCCAGTTAGCTGCGGTCTAGCTCACTGTCGCACGCAGACCTGGTCTCGTCCTGTGGCTCCCTAGTGCCCGAGTCCAAACTTTAAATGACCCTACAAGGACGCTAGTTGTCCCCTGAAATCTGACATCTCCCCTCCATCGTTCAAGTACACACACTCCCTCACCCCACACACCCCGAACTTCACTGAGCTCCTGAACAAGCCCCAATGCCTAAGCCACCCTTCCCAGCCCTCCAAAGAACTGAATTAGGCTACCAGAAGTCACTTCTTGCAGGACACCCTCACCTGAGTCAGGTGCTTCCTCTAGACCCACTCACTAAGCACTCAGCACCCTGTGTTTTAACTGCCCCCTCCCATCCACCCTGTGCACTGCCCGGCCATGCAAACTGGCAAACGAGTGAACACATGGTGGATCCAGGGTTCAGAGAGGCTGAGTAACTTCTCTCAGGCCACACAGCTCTTAACTGCCAAGCAGAACGGGAACGCCTGCTGTACCTGCCCCAGGGTCTCCCTGCCAGACCACTCCATCCCTGGTGAAGGACGGCATTTTCCCCATGGGCCCAGAGAAGGAAAGCGACTTGCCCAAGATCACACAGCAAACCTTGGTCCCAGTCCCCCACCCTGGCAACACTTCTAGAATGCCGTTCCAAACTCTCTACGCAGTTGCTCTCCCCCAAACCCTCAGAGGTGGGTGCCGGTAGGGCCTGGGGCAGAGTCCCGCCACCTGTGCAGGCACCTGCTCCTGCCGCTCCTCCTCCTCCTCGGCGGTGGCCGGAGTCCTGCGTCTTCGCCTTGTCGGGCCGGACCAGCCTCTTGCCGGCCGAGTTGCGGGTGGTGTAGCTGTAGACGGAGGTGTAGCCCTGGCCGGTGAGCGGGCAGAAGCGCCGCGTGTGGGCACGCTCGCGCGTGGCGCCGCACTGGGGGCACACGTAGTCGCGCAGGATGGGGCACAGCACCCTGCCCGCCTCGTCCTTCAGCACGTGGGACTGGTAGATGGCCCGGGACTCGCCGTTGTGTTTGCAGAAGGAGCACAGGCGCTCGGGGGCTGGCGATGACTCTGGGCTGGGCTCCTGACCCTCTGGGCTCGGCGCTGGCTCTGGCTGGGGGTCCAGCCTGGCCTCGGGCTCCTCTTCCCCACGCAGAGCCCCAACCAGGCGTGCCAAGCCGAAGTAATCAGTCCACAGGTCAAAGGTCCCCATGGCTGGGCCACAGGTGCCAGGCAGAGGGGCAGAGAGAGAAGAAACCCTGCCTGGCCCAAGCTCCTTCCTCTGCCCCTGCCCCACCGCCCCTCCCTTCACCTCCCTGGAGCCGGGGAGTCTGGGCTGTCTATTCCCTCCTTTTACCTCCAAGGGGGTGTGAAGGGGGAGGAGTGGGCTGTGGGAGGTTCCTTATTGTCACAGGGGGGCTCGGTGCCCCCTTAATGCACCTGCCAAGGGGATTCATAGTCTCTGGGTGGGCCGGCGCACAGCGCACAGCAGGGCAGAGGCCGCAAGGGGCACCCGAGATCCAGTGCCACACACCCCAACACCCCCAGAGCACCGGGGCTACCCTGCCTCCGCCTCCTTATAGGAGGCCACCCCCTCCAGCCCCACTGGAGGTGGGTACATGGCTTAGGAACACCTCCCCCAAAGACTAGCACTGAAGTGACCAGTAACTTAGTAACTTCTTTCTTCCTGCTGTGGGCTGGGGAGGGGCCAGGTGCCCCTGGGCTCTTTGATGGGGGGGGTATGCTGATGCTCCTACTGTCTGTGGAAGGAGGGTAGCCCCTGGCTTGAGGGCCAGAGTGACAAGGACCACCCTCCCCAGCTCAGGCCTCCCTGGGGAGTTTTCCCATCCATTGTCTCAGTGGAACTCCCATTTAATGGATGAGCAGATTGAGGTTTGAAGTCACTGGTCCTTTAGGTTATGTATAAAGATAAGCTCAAACTCTGCGTCCTCCTCCCAGTTACCGGAGCCCCCAGTTACCGGAGTTACCTGGAGGCTGGGTGCTGGGGCGGCAGCAGACCCCTGGCCCAGGGTTATTGGGGGGAGACAAAACACTCTGGAGGAGGGGGTAAGGGAGAGCAAAAGCCAGGTGGGGCTAATGGGACCCCCAGCACTTGCAGCTCTTTGGTTCCCCCCAACCTCCCTCAAATGAGATCTCAGCTCCCTCTCAAAAGGGTGGGTGTGCCCAGGAGTCACCCAGCTGACTCCCAGCTGGAAGGATCCAGTAGCACCAAGACATGCAGAGAGCAGGGTCTGGGGACACCCAGCTAGGAGGGTACAAAGCTGAGCCCAGGACTTGGACACACAGAAGAGGGTTGGTTTTGCTCACACACCCCAACCACCCAGCCACCCAGCCAAGAAAGCTTCACTGAGCTCTCTGGGAAGCAGAATTCACCCTGCCCTTTCAGAAAAGGTTTTTCCGCTGCGTGGCCCCCAGCCTCTGATTTCCCCACCCCCACCTCCAGGATTCATGCCCCCAATCCAATCTGTGTCCGTCAAGATCCCAGACACCACCCTCCCCCCCAAGGCGCCGGGAGTGTCTGGCATCAGGGCAAGGAACAGGCTGAGTGATTCTGGGGGGCAGGTCAGTCCTCGCTCCCTTCCCACCCCCCTGAGGCCATGTCTGGCCCAGCCACAGTGACATTCATCCCCCGGTGGGTCTGGCCTCCAGTCCTCACAACCCACCGACAACAATGAATGTTGATTGTGACCTTCGCTGTGGCCTAAGGGAGAGGCTGGATCAGGGGCTCCCCCAGCCCCCCAGATCTGGAAGGTTGGGGGGGTCACAGCTGGATGGACGAGAGGACGGCAGTTCCAGGCCTCGGGGTCCACTCAACGGTCGATGGTTTGCCTGAGCTGCCCAAACTCACCGACAGGTTGAATGTTCCCCCAAACCCTTGGCAGATCTCGGGGACCTGGAGTTTGGGGTGGGGGAGGCAGAAGGAACCCGATAAGGTGATGGAGCAGCAGAGAAGGGAGTTAAGGGTCCCACTGACTTTCATTAAGTCAGCAAACAATTATTAGGTGGTGCCAACTGTCTACTCCTAGACCTGGGAGAAACACAAGGCAAGTATATTAATAAACAGTGAATATTTATGTAGCCTTTGCTGCACAGATGTCCCAGTGCCCTGAAGTTCGCTCGAGCAATCCTCAAGACAGCCCTGGGGGTGCGTATTACCCCCATTCGTCCAGTGGGGAGACTGAGGCCAAAGGGCACTGCTATGGCAGGCGGTGGAGGAGAAGGAGGATGGATTCCAAGAGGTGGCCCCGGGAAGTCTGGCCGCCGGGGGCATTGATGCAACTTGGAGATAAACAAGTCATTTTAATACAATGTAATACCTTCCCAGAGCCTCGCGGGGTTCCGGGCACATTGTTTATGATTCACAACAGCCCCCCAGGGGCCGGCAGCCCACTTTGCAAGTGCGGGGGTCCTGCAGGACAGGGGAGAGGCCGCCCGCCCGCGGGGCCTCGCGGCTCCTGAACCGGGAGCCTGCGGGAGCCAGCGCGCAAGCGCACCAGCGCGCGGGGCTGCGCGCCCCTCCTCGCGGCTGCTCCCTCCGCCCGGCGGCCCGGGTCCAGGCCTGCAGCTGCTGCCCCCCCAGAAGTGCCCAAGCAGTGACCAGGAAAGGGGAGCGCGACCCCCACCCCAGCTGGCTCTGGGGACCCCGAAGACCGCCTGGGCAGAAGGAGCCTTCACATTTCCCGGCCCCTGCCGTTTCCCCGAGCGGAACGTTGGGCCCCACAGAAACTTCGTGGCATAATCCCGAGGCGGACCGGGGACCCCCGAGTGAGCCTGGGCGAGCCCCACTATAGCCCTCGGCGGCGGGGGCGGACGACCCGCGCCCCCCCAGGGCCCCACCGGAGCCCGGCCCTGGGAAGCCACCGGCGCAGATTCCTTCCCCGGCCCCGCCTCTTAGAGCCCAGTCCCTCACTAGCTGTCCCTAGGACACTCTCCAAGGCCCGCCCCTGTCGGCCCTCGTGGACCCCGCCCCCAAACCCGCGCCCCGTCAAACCCGCGCCCCGAGCGGGCGCCCGCAGACCTGGCCCTCCGCGGCCTGCCCTGGGCTCCGTCCCCAGAGCCCCCCACCCTTCCCGGCGCCCCAGGTGGCGGCTCCGGGAGCGCCCGGGCCACAGAGCCCCGCCCCGAGGCCCTGCCCCCAAAGCCTGCTCGCTCAGAGCCCCAGGCACTGCGTCCCTAAGGGGTCCCCAAGGCTCCCGCATGGAGCCCAGTCCACCCAAGGTCCGCCCGCCCGGGCGCTCCCCCAAACCGAACGATCTAGGCCCCCCTTGGAGCCAGATCTCCGCAAGATTCCTCTCACGAAAACCCCGACACCCTCCCCACCCCCAGCCCGCCATCTGACCCCCAGGGCGGGGGGGGGGGTCTCCCTCTCGCAGTCACGTTCCACCCCCAGCCTGGAGCTCCAGGTGGGCGCCCTTCCCGCCCGGGCCAGCAGGCTCCCGTTCAGGTGTGGGGGTGCCAGGGCTGCGCCCCCCTCGAAGTGTTGGGGCCCTTCCCGGGGAGAGCAGGGTCGTGGCTCTAACGCCCAGAAGGGAGGAGGGCGAGTTGGGCGCAGAGGTTGTCTCTACCACGGCGACGACGGTGACCGTTTACAGACTTCGCCCCGCTACTGGGATGCCCATTTTACCGATGGGAAGGTTGAGGCTCTGGGAGTTCAGTGGTTGCTCCTGAGCTCTGTTGCCGTCAGGAGGCTGCCGGGGGCATGAGGCGTGAGACCTGGCGGCCACACTGGCAGGTGGGGGGCGTCCCCAGACACGTCTTCTGCGTGTCCTCTCTGCACCCTCCCAGGGCTTTGGCCTTGACCTGCCAAGGAGGGGCCGCCCTGTGAGGGGTATCCCCAAGAGAGGCGAAGGCACGTTTTGGGGAGGGGGTTCCCATCTGGGCAGGGAGGAAGGCAGCGCTGGGGCAAGAGGGCGGGGCTTGAGCCAAGGGGAGGGGACCCGGGGCCTGACTGTCTCCCTTTGTCTGGCCGTGGTCGGCGCAGGCTTCCCGCCCTCCGTGTCTGTCTGGGCCCGCCTGACTCTTTGTCAGCCCCGGTCGCCTGTCTGGGTCTGACTGTGCCCCTCGCAGGCCTGTGTCTCCGGCCCTGCGTGTGCGCCTGTCTCCGACTGTCTGGATCTGTCTGTTTGTGTGTCCGGCCCTTTACACCGGGTCTCCCCTCAGTGACTGGTGACTGTCCCCTCGGCCCAGCCGGGGCTGGCCCTTAGCTGGGCGGGCAGCCCTGAGGGTGTTGGCGGCCCCGCCCCTCCTGCCCGCCCGCAGCTCACTGTCTGGACCTAGCCAGGGCGGGCGGGCCGGGCGCTGGCTGTTGCTGGGGCCTTCTGGAGGCTCAGGGGCCTCTGGGCAGTGGCTGGTCTCACCCTGAAGTCCCTCAGGGTGGGAGGTGGGACAGGGAGAAGACAGGGTCTTCTCCCACTTCCAGCCCCAGCCCCAGCCCTGGTGCCGGAGGGAGTGTCTTTCAGGAGACCTCTTCGTCCTCAGTCCCGGGACCCCCCCACCCCACCCCGCAGCAGCTGGGAGGGTCTGTCACCCAGGGGGTGTGGGTGTCGGGGTAGGAGGGCAGCCCTCCAGAAGCCACTCGGACCCCCGGCGCGGCCCCGCCCCCACTCTGAGCGCCAGGAGGGTAGGGCAGCTGGCCCAGGTCTGGGGGTCAGGGCCAGAGGTGACAGGTCCCACCGGGGCCAGATGGTAAGCCACAGATGGAGGCCGCTCCGTCGCCGTCAAGTTGAAGAACAGGGGCAGGAGGTTTGCAGGTCAGACTCCCCATGCTCCAGGGGGCGTCTGGTGGCCTGTGTGCCCGTGTGCGTGTGTGTGCGCGCGCGTGTGTGTGTCCTTGTGCCTGTTTCTGTATGTACATCCACGCATGTGTTCCTGTATATGTGCCCCTCTGCATCCCTGTGTGTGTGTCCCTCTGTGCATACCCTTATGTGTGTATGTCCCCAGTGTGTCCCAGTGTGCATATGTCCCTGTGCGTCCACCGTCGTGTGTGCACATGGCCCGGGGTGAGGGGCGCACGGGGCGGGGGCAGGCAGTGTTGTTGTATGTCAGGACCTGCAGACACCCCCCCGGCCCGGGTTACGCGGGGTTGCAGCCCTGCGGGGGTCTCCTCGGGGTCAGGCTGATGGCCCAGGCTGTCTAGACTGGCGGGCAGGGGCTCCTCGTTTTCACTGGCACCTGTGTGGGCGCTCAGGTGCCGGCCCCGCCCTCCGCAGGCGTCTCCCCAGCTTCCGCCCAGCTGCTGGAGCCTCCCACGCCGGGTCCTGGACAAGGGGCCTCCTGTCCCCCCAACGCGTGGCGCGTGAGTGGCCGGAGCCGGAACTTCCTTCCCCGGCCCACAGGATGTGGGGCCAGGGCTGGGGAGGCGGGAAGGCTTCTCTTGGGTTGGGGGCTGTGGAAGGGCCGAGTTTTTGGGAAATTCAGACACTCCTGAGGCTTATGGTGCAGAGCGACCACCAGAGTCGGGTCGCAAGTGGCTCTGTCTGCTAAGAATCCTTCGCAGCCTCTTTCCTATGCGGGGCTTGTCCTTATGGGGGTCCCGTCCAAGCCACTCTGCTGGGCTGTTTGGGGGGTTCTGTGGGTGTAGGTCCAGCTGGGTGTGTGCTATGGGGCGTGGCTGTCCCTCTCCCCGTGTTGGGGGGGTGAGTCCCCCGGGGCTTCTGTTTCCGTGTACTGTCCAGCGTTACATGGTCGTGAGTCCCGCTAATAGTGTGTAGCTGCGGGTCGGCCTGTGAGCCAGTGGTGCGTGGGTGTCGGGTGTGTGCTGGTGTCACTGTAGTCCGTGTGACTGGTGACTGTAGTCCGTGTATCGTCCGATTACGGCGTTTGTCCCCAACTACACCAGGTCTACTAAAATACCAGGACTGGGAGGGCAGAGATTTGGCCCCCCTTTTTTTTTTTTTTGAGAAAGAGTCTCGCTCTGTTGCCCAGGCTAGAATGAGTGTGCCGTGGCGTCAGCCTCGCTCACGCAGACCTCAGACTCCTGGCTCAAGCAATCCTCTGCCTCAGCCTCCCGAGTAGCTGGGAACTACAGTCATTGCACCGACCATGCCCGGCTCATTTTTTCTATATGATTAGTTGGGCAAATTATTTCTTTGTAATTTATAGGTAGCCACGACCGCGGTCTGCGGCCTGCTCAGGCTGTTTCAAACTCCCTGAACTGCGAAGCCTCCGCCCGCCTCGGCCTCCCAGAGTGCTGGGATGACAGGCGTGAGCCACCGCGCCCGGCCTGGGATTTGGCTCTTGTTCACCGGTATATCCCCAGTGCTACAACAGTGCCTGGTCCGTAACAGACGTGTAATAAACAAAGTATTGAGGACATCCAGGCGACTGGAGATTGCTGCATGTCTTGTGTCATTTCCTTCTGGGCCCGTGTGTGCCAGGGTGTGTGCGCACGCGTTACCGTGTCTCTGTGTGTGTCAGTGTCACCGTAGGTGTGCAGGTGCCTAGGCGCATAAGCAGGTCTTAGGGTAGGCGACTATGGGCACATGAACATTCGGGTGTTCCTATCTGTTTATGGGTGACCCGTCGTTGCAGGTGTGGAGGGGGGGTCCCTACTACCGTGGGCAACTGTGTCAGCACGTGTGGCTGTTCTGGGGGCTCAGCGTGTCAAGATTACCTGTGACCTGGTGTCAGATGTCAGTGTCTTCGGCAGGCCTTGTGCCATCTGTGTGGGTGACTGTGTGTGCGCTCGTGGGTCTGTCCTTGCTCGGGGAGGCACGTGGATGTCCCTGTGTGTGTGACCCAGTTACTGCGGTTAATGGCATCTGCGTGTGCCTGTGTCGGGGCCTTCACAGATCTGCGGGTGGCGGTCTGTGGGTGAGCGCCCGTGTGCCTGTGTGTCGGAGGCCATGTCTGTGTCCTGGCCACTGTTGGTGGTGGCCACACTGTTCCGGGTGGCACCGTCGGCGGGCATCAGAGGCCCCGTGTGGGCGAGGCGTGTGCACGTGGCAGTGTTGTTGTGAGTGACCGTGCGTACGTGTGTGTCGGCGCTACTTTGGGTGATGTATTAATGGGGAGGGTGTATGTCTGAGTACAGTGTGTGACTTCTGGGGTCTTCACCGGGGACTTCAGAATCTCTAACTCTGGCTCTGGGTGTCCGAGCAGTCTAGATGGGGCTGGGTGGGAAAGGAAACGGGGGAGGGCAGCCCCGTGGGGCGGTGGGGGGGACTGCTCAGCCCCTGTCAGCCAATGAGGTGTCTTCTCCATCCCCCACCCCCAGCATGCCCTCCAGGGCGAGGTCCCTGGGAAAGGTGCCCTGTCGCTTTAAAAGGGTTCCCAGGCAGTGGGATTGGGGCCATTTTTCCTTTTTATGGCCCGTTTTGGAGGGCGGGTTCCGCGGCTGGCTAGCAAACCTCGGCCCCAGTAAACACCCTGCAGCCACCACCGGTAATGACAGGCCGGCAGGCGGCCCGCGGAGGGCGCCAGGGCTCGCGCAGCGGCTCGCCGGCTACCCCCTACCCCGGCCGGCCGCAGCCAGGCCGGAGCGGGCCCCGGCTGGACTGGTCTCCGCAGGCCCGAGCGCCCATGAACTTGGCCGGAGGCGCCTTCGCGAACGCGCGCGCGGAGCCGGAGCCTCTCCCAGCGCCAGGTTGCCGCGGCCCCACCCGCTCCGCGCCCCCCAAGAACAAAGCTCGCCGCCGCCCCGGCCCGTGGCCTCCGCGGTCAGGTGTCGGGAGGCCGGGGCACGGCTGCCCCCACGCTCCGCATCGCGCGTCCCCGCCCCGCGGGGACAGCTCGGCCCGCCCTCCCTGGCGGCCCGGCTCGGGGACTTGGGGGCCTGTCCCCTTTGGAGGGCCTGATCCTCCCGGCGCCCCTTCCCCGGGAAGGCGAGACGCGCCGTGCCGCCGGGCCTCCCCGCCCCCTCCCCGGCCGCAGCAACAATGGAGGGCCGGCGACAGAG